TCGTCGTGACGCCCGTGCTTCACTCAGCGTTCAAACTCTGTTCACTTCGCTTCTCGGCCCTACGGCACTCCGCCCGCCAGTCCGGTTGCCGCCCATCCTCACGCATACGGATACGCACACGCACTGAACGGAGACGAATCACTTTCCTTGAGAACACATGGAATCACAAGAAGCTGAAGAAGCTTCCTTCGATTGATCGAAAAAAACGATGATTTACCCACCTCGGGAAGTAGCGAGGGACCTAACTGTAAGACCAAGGTGCAAATCTTATCTGAGGTCAACTGCGAGACCAAGAGCAGTAGTGTGCCGTAGATTGGACTAGGTCAAAGCTAAGCCTTGTACCATTGTAATACGAACTGTCGTCCTTCATGTGGATGCTGGATGGATTTGGAAAGTAGAGGGACTTGAGATTCGCTACGGTTCTCACTTGTCAGGTAGACACGGATGATATGTAGGTAGTACAGCGAGTAATTTCAGGTAGAGGTGCACGAGGTCGTTGGTACTGATGTAGCTTCACTACGGGATACTGTTGGAGTACCGGTAAGCTTGAATTTTTAACTAGTTATATTTAGATGAGATTAGACGGAAGGCAGAAGGGATCCTGGGATAAATAAATGGTACCGGTGAGGAATATGTATTCTATGAAGTGTCGAGCCACAAGCGCCACCTGTTGAGCTCTACTGACTCGGCGTTACATTTACGTATACCTAAAGGATCCTGTGCCCGATGCCTGAAGGAGACAGTCTTCCTGGTTTAATCTACGTGCTGCCTGCCTTCCTGCCTATCCGTCGCATCGCTCAGAAGGGATCTGACACCGGGACGTCCTCTCCCGTTCCCAAGTACTGCCTCCTTGTCTCGTCCATCTTCCTATCTGCAGTCTCGCGCCCTGGACGGATCCAGAGAAGATCAAACAGATAGGTTCAAAGTTTGCTTCGATGCCGACAGCCTGGGTACTTGGGGTATCGGTGGTGGCAATGCTGATGGTTCATCTCCCCTTTTTTGGAGCAGTACGCGGTTAGGGTAGGTCGAGTACCGATAAAATCGGCAGTTCGTAAAAATCGTTGGAGAACCCTCAGGAGATTGATTATATGTTTCTTGTAGGGAATCTTTATATTCTATCTTTATTTTGCGTATGATTCTTGTTTTCAAGTGGCTAAGATGATCATTTGGCGTCTTGAATTTGATTTTGGCGCCACTTCCAGAGGAATTGACAAAGAAATCTGCGAAAGGTAAAAAGCGGAAGTAACATGTAAGTTTGAAATGATGATTGAAATGGATCATGTGCATTCACTTTAAGAGTTTGTATTTAATAAGAATGACGTGTAAATATAGGGTGTTAAATATGATATTTTTTCCCTTTAGACCTATTGATGTCTGAGGCTCAAGCTATTTGGACCATTTAAAGGGGAAGCGAGAGAAGCATGGGGTTCACCAAGATTGGTTATTTCTGGATTGGTGTATGGAAGAATAGTCGAGCAGGGATTGAGGGGTGTATATATTGCTAGTACGTTGAGTCTTTTCGTTTGTAGTCCCTTATTTACCCTCGTAACTCGCGGAGCTGGTGTTAATTCTTCACTTCCGCTTTTCGACAAAAATTCGAAACCGCATTCATCCAACGTCGTAGGCGTGGGTCACGAGTGACTCCCCTGTTTTTCTCTAATCTTTGGAAATGCCTTTGGGGACGCATCTGTTTCCTGGGCGTGCGAAAGCTGTTCTCTCTTTTTGGGGGACTGTCTTCGATTATAGCTGGTATAGATAGCATCGCGGCTATTTCTAGATGCATTAAGGATATAGGCACTTTCAGGGCTTTTAGCTTTGGTTCGTATCAGAAGGGTATAACTGGAAACATTTCATGAAATATTTACTAGGTTATTTTTATTGACAACGAACAATTCTGATCGGTTGTGAACATTAATTGGCACGAATCGTATGCATTCTTTGAATTTTATATCCTTTTTTGTAGATGTTACCTCAAGCTTATTGACTATAGAGTGCATCACTTTGCAATTTCAGAGTTGTAGCCATCTATACGATATAAGGCGAACTGTATATACTTGCTATAGGGAATCGTGAAGTCCGTTTTCTTTACCGACAAATAATATAAATGTTTACATAAAAAGTTATTTATGTTTAATAATCGCGTTATGCCAGATGAATTTATTTTTAAACTGAGAGTGATGGTGAAATGAAATTTTGATTTCAATGAAAAAGAAGAAGATACAGATGTTTCCTTCATTACCAATCCACGATAAAGGTAATGCATATCGACAATAAAAAATGCATAGTGCACGTATTACCTAAATGTGATATTACAGTGTTTTCAATTAACTTGACTTATTGTACTGTATGTAAGGTGTAAAATATCGTGTTAGACTGGCAAGATCGTTATGCTCATATACAATTTTTTACGTTCAATCCCAATTTTCGGTGTGCACTGAATTCCACTCGACTGCGATTGGACTAGTAGGTGTCAACTATGAACCGAAAAACTGTGCACCAATAAATATAATATTCGGATAACTGTGCACGAGATGTTTCATGCAACGACCTCTGCACAATAAACGGTGCACTACTTATTTTGACCGACCTGAAGCTAGGTAAAGAAATTGTGCACCAGAAACTTTGCACCATTCAATTGTGCTTAATAACTAATAATAACGGCCTAATAACTGTGCATAAAATATCTTTACGCGAAACATTGTGCACACATCTTTTGAAACATTTATGCGCACTTCAATCAATTCTAACCCATTACAACATTTAAATTCTAATCTAACGTAATTATTTACAAACCTATGACAATAATACATTATGGTGTTGATATTTTTATAATTGAAACACCATCAGGTTTAGTAATAATATAGACAAATAACTATTTTTCTAGTTATTTAAGAAATAGTCACTTTGTTAAAGATTTCATAAGAGTTTAACGTAAAACTTAAGCATTAAAATTGTACGTTTTTATGCTTTAACATTTAATAAAAAATGATCAATTACGTAATTATAAATAGCATCCAAGGAACGACATTTCTGCATAAAAAACAAATGTTTACTTCTCAGCGCCAGCCTCTCGGCGGCTCGCATTTTTGCTATTGCGTGCACAGTTATTAAAGCAGTTGAACGCTGCACAGAATTCTGGTGTAATAATCTCTCGTGCATATTTTCAGGTCGGTAAAAACAAATTGTGCACAGTTGCCCCGTGCACAGTTGGGGCTACCCTACCATTTAGTGTTCGGGCTACTTTGCCACTTAGTGAAACTATGTGAGTAATTTCGTACAGTTGGAGTATCTTAGATAGATCGATGCCATGATATGGCTTATGTAGTCCTTTATGATTTGGTCTATTTTTGGACTAGAGTTGAGTAATCGGAGTAGCAATTCCAGTTCTATTTTGTTTAATTGCGATTCGCGAAAGTTAAAGACCTTGTTTTTGTTTCTTTTCTTGTCCATGAGACGGCATTTAGAGTTTTCTTGCGATTATTTTGATTTCCTTTTTTTACTGTTGGCCTTTTCTTTTTTTCCTTGTCCTTTTTTGTGTTGAATACTGAAAGACTGAGTATTAACGCACATGTTGAGTACCTCTTCCCCCCTGCCCCTGCCAGCCCTATCATCACCGTCAGTGCCCTTTTCCCTTTTTTCGCTCCCCCTTATGAATGACCGCTCAAGTGAAATTAGAATGGTACTTTCGTTTAAGCGGGGGGGAGTTTGTAACAAAAATGTTACTACAGACTTTTCCCCGCCTCCGGCTCGAGGGCACTATCTCGAAACCATCGAAGATCATTTCTTTAGACCAACAACAATCCCTGGAAGTATCGAGAGAGTGGCTACGTTGCCTAGGCAGCGGGATGCGAGGAAGGCATGGGCAGGAAGACAGGAATAGCTGATCGAGACACGTGAGGATGATGCCCGCCACCCAGCCACCCTCACCACAGAAATGCAACCCCGGTGCTGTCCACAGCAGTGGGGCCCTCTTTCTTCAATACCGTGGACGTGCACGGGAGCATAATACAAATAGACAAGGTATAGCCACCAGCAATTCTGCGCATTTAGACGGTGACGTCATCGGACCCTCTCTACTCTGATTGGCTACTAGCCCGCGCCACCACTGCACCACCCTGCAGCAAGGCCCTGGCAGGCCCGTCAGGACCGTGGTAACCAACGGCGACGGAGCCCTGCTATGCCCAAACTACGGACCAATGCCGAAGCACGTAGCTCTCTCAGTCTAGCGATCCAGCCAATCCCCGAGGCCTTGGAGGCCCATGGACGAAAACAGCGAGGACCGGAAATCCCGAAGATTTCACCACTTCGAGCCAGGATTTTTGGAGCGACGGTTATGCAAGTGAGTGCCTTTTGAGTAGTTGCGTTCCTTTCTACCCTTTTCCCTGTACTCTCTTTCTTTTGCGCTTTTAGTATTTCGTAGATCCCTTCTGGATATTAGCGAGCCGTCCAACGTGAAATGGCATTTAGGATTTTTAGTAGTTCTTTTTCAATTCACACCCTTTTGCGTATCGAAAACCCGAGGTAATTGTTAAGTAGCCATTTACGTTCGGGAAACTTCTTCATTTCGAGTAAAGTAAACATTCGAGGACCTCCAAAGGTCACTTGTTTTCTTTTTTTTTCTTGTGTATTTGTTTTTCTCATCCGGTGATAATCAAGACTATTTATTTGACACCTTTATTTAGTAACAGTGAGATAACAACATTTTTGAATAATCGTAACTTCTGTTTATATCTACTTAAAAAATAAAATATAACGATCTAGAAATAACAGAAGCCTCCTGCTATCACCAAGATTAGAACATAGGCTATTCATTCTCACGCCATTACCAATGCTGAATCGTTAGCAATGTAATAAATATGAATGAAACACATTATTCAACTGCCACTCAAAGATTATTGAAAATGACAAACGCATTAAGGATATATAGCTTCTAAATAAATAACGTACAAAATATCACGTAAAATATGTTTAACTATTCTTTTATTATCTTAATGGAATGAATTGTGGATGCACAGTACAACAAGGACAAGGTAATACTCATAAGTATTATTCAATTTCTTATTTATTAATTATTAATAAAGAGATGTCCATGAAAAAAGAATCAATTTTCACGTTCATTAAATACATATTCTTTATAGGAGCGTTCAAAAATACGAGCAGATCCAAAAGATTGGTCTCAAGCACACATGAAGCATTGGCTCCAGTGGGCAGCCGGAAAATTCAATTTATTGTTAGTCTCCTTGCGACTGGAAGACTGGAATATCACTAGTGCTCAGTTATGTAATTCAACGCTCGAAGAACTTAGTTCGAAAATACATGTTAATCCAGGTGACATTTTCTTCGCATAACTAAAAGTGCTACAAGACTCCAAATTTTTGGGTAGGTTAATTTTTTACAAATACAAAATAACTTTTATGATGTCCAAATAAATTCCACTACTCTCCTGTGGATTATGCAACTTCTGTATATGCTAAAGGATATATTCTTTGTTCACAGCTATGTATAAAAAGGTCCACCTGCAGGAGCCAAGCACATTGTCAAAGAGAACGAGCCCACTAAAATCCCCAACCAGAAATCACCAAAGGCTTTAAATATCAGTCAGCAGCCAAGACTCGTTAGTGAACCACTAATTGAGGTTGAATCCTCCCAAATCTCGATAGCTACCTCCAATAGAACAGCGAACAGTGGGCAGTTAAAGTTGTGACAGTTCTTACTGGAATTGCTGGCCGATGCTGAACACAGGACTGCTATTCAGTAGGTTGGAACTGAGGGTGAGTTCAAGTTTAATCAACCGGAAGCTGTGGCGCAACTTTGGGGCGCGCGTAAGAGCAACCCTTCGAAGACGTATGGTAAATTTAGTAGATCGTTTCGGTACTATTACGATAAAGAAATAATTTCGAAAGTTCACGGAGAAAGATCGGTATATAAATTCGTTTGCGATTTAAAACAGCTATGGGGATATTCAACTGTGGAATTGAGTTATTTATTCGAGGAGGGTTAAACATATTTCCTCACCCTCAGAGACAGGTCAGAGAGAAATAGGAATAAAGAAACAAATATAGGCCGCTTCTCTGACAATCCTTTCCTACAATACCGACGTTCATATCAGACGATTGTAACTGACGCACATTGAAACTGTTGTACCTGTCACAGATAATTTAAGAAATTTTTGTTATTTTATTTTACCATTTAATCCTGCGTCGCCTAAGTTCTTCAAGACACCAGCCCCTAGCACTTACCTACATCCCATTTCGTACACTCATAAGGAGCGTACAAAATTGCAATATCGACAAATGTTACAGTATATCATCATCAATATACACATAGTATGTATATTGATGAGTGTCTTGGCGGATGAATTATATTGCATGATGTTTAAATAGTCAAAACGAATAAATTCACTTACAATTAATTATTATTCGAGTCTGAGGATGTAGATCGACTTTCCCTTTGTTTGATTATCTGTTGAGAGGTTTTAGTATCATTACATCTTGTACTGCATTATTTGCATTTACCATATGCGGTTAACTTTTGATATTGCGTATACGTTTATGAATTACGATCTAAAGTATAGTAACCAAGTGATACCTTACTAAAAATTTATAAATCATGGTAGTAATACAATTATTTATATAAAGTTTTAAATTGTTTGTATAAAGACAATACAATGAAATTTATTTTGTTTATGCATGATTTATGCATGTAATTGAAATACCAATAGATACTTGTCAGTAAGATGATATAGTTAAGATAAATATGTCGTAAAGAAATGTTAATACCAGAGATGAGTAGTGTTACTATATATGTATACTCGACCAATCAAAAACGTGGAACTGCTTCGAGGTCTCTCCGCTAAGGTGGCGCACCGAAACCATAAAAAAGTGAGGCCAGGAAAACTAGACTCATTGTCAACCTTCCTACTTATCTCTGACTTTTAGTTTCCACCGTGCAAAGTTTAAACAGAGTTAACCAATCACGTATAGCAATTAAATGGATTTGACCAATGAGGATGCTTAACTCTGCACGGTGTAAACTAAGCCTCTGGTACAAGTTCTATGCAGCTTACTGAACTCTAACCATACTGGAATCCTTTCCTTATGGTTGTATCCCCGATAGGGGCATACTGGAATCCGTACGCTTGTATTGAGAGGTAACCCGGCGAGCACGCAGCTATCTCACTTACTTCGTGGATGAGGTCGTCCTTTTCGAATTGAACTGCGCATGTACCAGCCCTGCAAAAATGTTGTCCCGCCAACATAGTGCCAGCCGTGGTGCAATAGAAAGAGCAATGAAAAACAAGTACATATAAATCCTATCTAGGCTCCAGGATATAAATATAAGGCCTTATAAAAACGACAAAAAAAGTATTCAGCAGTCTTCGAAATAAAATATACGTGACACTATTTCAGATTATGTTATATTGGCTTAGTCCTCCCCGTGCGCACTGCTTTATCCCAACTTAAACTTTTTCAGAGACTGTACAGTGTGTGATAGAGACAAGCTGCTACACGGACCCGTGTCCTTGTTTTCTTTCTCTGCACGGCCCTTACTACTGCCGTACGGATTCAATATGATTAGAGTTCAGTGATGCAGCTATTGCTTGCTGCTGCCACCTGGTGAGTTATATTAAATCGTAATCAGCTGACCCTCTCTTCCAAGCATCAAATGCGTATTTATAAATATCGCATCTGTCGGAGAGTTGTACTTCAATTTAATTGTTCGACAAATAAGCGATAAAATGGTGGACATTAAGAACAATGTCAATTTTGCGTGCCAGCGGTGTTTGCAGCCTCTTCGATTGGATCCAAGCTTCAATCATCTTGGAGAACACACGTTAGCTGAACTCTCACGTAGGTAAATTCAGTTTAGAACTATACGACCTGATAAATTTGTTGTTTCCACAATTTAACAGTATATTGTTTTATATTTACATCTGACGAAAAAAGTTTAAGGATCTTGGCATATGATGAATCAATCAGTATTAATACACATTTCAACATTATATCTAGTATTTCCAGATCTAAATAGAATCTTCGTTCTTTGTAATCTGATCATGATGTCATGGAATAATTAAAGATGATTAATGGGAAAATCTGCTATTGAAACTGATATAGGAATTCATTATTGAAAAGATTATTAATTTTGTTGCATGATTTCTCCTAAAGAGGGTTGGAGTTTCTTATACAGAATATGGTCCTGAATAGCTCTGTTCTCTAAGTATGTTTTGTTGGTACGAATAAAAATTAAATTGTATCTTAAAGCTTTCTAAACTTCATATTAAATGATTATTGTATAGACTGTAATGTAATTTTATGCTTCTCTAATGACAGTACCGATACAACAACAAATTGTGGGAGATTTAGAACCTCACAGTGGCAGCTTAGAACAATTAGTGCCACCATTCAGATTAACAGAATCAGCAAATGGTACCAATGGATTTATGCTTGTGGGTGATTCTGGAGAAACTGAAAGTGTTAGTCATCTCTTAAGGGTAAGCTTTTACTCTCAGTAATGTTACTCTTAAGCTAAAATATACTGATTGGCACGTAACTAATTAACTTTACACCTTCCAAATGCAGGTACGAGCAACATTATTTGATATACTGAGCAGTAGTAGCTCAGCAGATCACCCATTATGCGACGAATGTACAGACAGTCTACTAATGCTAATGGATCAACAATTAAGAATGACAGAAGGAGAGTGGTCAGACTATAACGAATATTTAAAACGGCTAGAAATCGAACAACAAGACCATCGTCACGAAGATGTCGAGATGGAAGCGTTAACAAAGGAATTACAGGATGTTAAGGCTGAGGAGGAAAGAATGATTAGCGAGTTGGAAGCGCTAAGAAAAGAGGAGACAGCAACCAGAAATGCAATAGCTCAGCAGGAAAGGGAACGGGAAAGACTACAAAGTGAAGAGGAGCGATATTGGAGAGAGTATTCTAGACACAGAAGGGATCTCATACTAGCAGAAGACGAGTGTCGAAGGTAATTTCAGAAGATATAAATATTGTATTTATTTGCGATATTAAATGTATTTCAATGACTGATCGGTCCGTTAAAATTTCTATTTACAGCCTAGAATGTCAATTGGCTTACGCTGCTTCACAACTCGAAAGACTAAAAAAAACAAACGTTTTCAATGCTACTTTTCACATTTGGCATTCCGGCCATTTTGGAACAATAAATTCGTTTCGATTAGGCCGACTACCGAGTGCGCCTGTGGATTGGAGTGAAATAAATGCGGCATGGGGTCAAACGACACTTTTATTAACGGCACTTGCACGAAAAATGAACCTCACATTTCAACGTTTCCGATTAGTGCCATTCGGTAATCACAGTTATATTGAGGTTTTAGATCAACATAGAGAATTACCACTTTATGGAAGTGGAGGATTCAAGTTTCTGTGGGATACAAAATTTGACGCTGCAATGGTCGCCTTTCTTGATTGTTTGCAACAGTTCAAGGAACAGGTGGAAAAAGGCGACAGCGGATTCTGCTTCCCTTACAGAATGGATAGGGGGAAAATTGAAGACTCGGCAACAGGGAATTCCTACTCTATAAAGTAAAGCATCGTTATTTACATTTAACTTATCATATAATTTATATGTACACATTGAAATAATTGTACAATTTTAATCATAACTAGAACCAAAATAATTTTTCTGTTTCCAGAATTCAATTCAATTCAGAGGAACAATGGACCAAGGCCTTGAAGTTTTTGTTGACAAATTTAAAGTGGGGTCTTGCCTGGGTCAGCTCACAGTTTACGAAAGATGAGGCTGAACATTAAACGTCTTGTTCACCCAATTGAAATTACACTACACAGCTATCTCACTCATTGTGTATATACACACTATTTGTAAATAAACTTGAAGATACAATAACACTTTTTTTTAAATTTGGGCTACTTCAGAATTTGTAAATTTAGCTTTAATACATTTCCTTTATTTGGTGCAACTGCTAAATGGAAGACTAAATACTAAGAGTAATGGTCAAGTTTATGTGCCAGGAACCAGGATACCCCAAACAGAAAGTCTGGAGGACTCTGAACTTCATCTGAATTGATGTATGCCTTTGCCTCTGGAATGCTCATTTCAACCACTTCGATCAGTTCACCTTCTGCTTCAGCACCCCCTCCTATTAATTTTATGTTCACATTTGATTTTGCACTTATTCTTTGTACTCTGTTAGTCCTGTTCAAGGATTATCATAGATTTCTATTCAAAATTCAATAACACAAAAAATATGAAGTCTCTTTACCTGGATGAATGTGCATGTCATCTGTAACTTCAACATAGAAAACAGTTTGCTTAGCTGCAGTCGGTCCCTGGGATCTGTAAGAATGTAACGATCCTAATAATGCAGTGAATCGGCATTGCCTCTAACTGTGAATTAATGTTTATTGTTACAATCACAGAGGGCAATGATGCCTTGACAAAGTAAAAAGACATTACAAAAATCTTGGTATAACAATACAAAACTTAAAGTACAAAATAACTGATATAAACGAGAGTTAAACAAATCTTTTTAAATCACTTTAGTTTTTACAAAAGTAAACAGTTTTGCCCTTTTTATATTATTATTCATAATAAGTAAAGCTACTAGAACTTCAATTGCAAGTAAAAGACACACCTGTAAGTCAGAACCTTAGTGAACGCCGAAGTTGGCGCCTCATACCCACACTCTTCTCTCAATTCATCTCTCGCAATTTCAACGACAGGTTTATCCTTGTCAACGATACCGTCACAGAGTTCCAAACTCAGGCCTAAGCTCGGTGGATATTGATTCAAGTCCACCACGTCCTTCCTCTCCGGCAGGCAAGAGTAATATGTAGCAGGACGGAATTGTCTGACAAAAACAAGCTTCTTCCGACTTATATTGAAGACAATGATACTCACGCTATCGTGAGCTCTCATAAGATCCCACACTTTCGACTGACCATCTTGCAGGTAATGCATTCGTACAGGTCTAACCCACGGGGAATCCGTAGGCATTGGACCTATACATATTTCCTGAAGATCGAGCATCCTTCTCCTCATAGACTGGTTTCTTTCCTCAATTGTTTTGTTCATCTTTCATGTAAAACACGCTGTCAATAATCACTATAAAACTGTTAGCTGCTGTCAAGCTGAACCACCGTCAACCATAGGACGCCGTGCCAATAAACAGGCTGTAACTAGTCTCAGATGCGCATGACATTCGCAACGCGCGCAAACTCAAACTCACTCCCACGGATTTGCGATCGTGAGATAAATTAGCAGCGATCACTGCGTCACTTGATTCGCTCATTCACGCTGATGTCCCAGCGATAACTGCATGTCCTTCAGTCACATCACATAGGCATACCGTTCGCTGATTCCGCGTTAGCGATACAAGATAAATACACGACGGCAACGTGCCGCTGCTGTATCATCGAGAAGTCAGATTGACCGTTTAGGATGCCACTTCGTTAACCTCTTCTCTATATGCGATGGATATGCGTAGTAAATGTGTTTGCAACCTTCGCTCGTTACCAACTAGCAATTACCAACAGTTATACAGGCGATGCTCTTAGTAGTCAGAATAGAAAATACACCTCTCAGGATTGCGAAGAGACTCGCAGAAATGCGAAGTGCCCATCGTCGGATCACTTCTTTCCCTTCTTCGACTTCTTTTCCTTCTTCTTTGCGCTGTCGGGAGGCTTGAACGCATCGAGTATCTCCTGCTGTTTGACTTGCGTGTCGACGTGAATCACGTTGGGTTTCTTGCGGTACCGGTTAACGGCAGCCGGTGGTGAGAACTCGATCTCCATGTCGGATGCCGAAGAGCTCGATGCTACGGAGGCATCATCCTTATTCTTTGGGATCTTAAATTGAAGGGGTTTCATAGGCTCTTCGAGCTGCGGTACTTCCATCGACTCCTGCTTTATTGGATACATGGTCACGTAGTACGTGCCATCTTTTCTGTGTATATGAAGCGTCGGAGGTGGTTCGACATCTTCCTCTTCGCCATCTTTCTTCTTTGGTACAGACTTCTTAGACAAGAAACTCTTGCTCTTCTGCATCTTACGTTTTCTGCTCTTAGACACTGCAGCCCTAGATCTGGACCTGGGCATGTGTACTACACCGACTTTTGCTTCCTTTAGAATCTCATTGACACTGTGCGCAATAGCCCCAGGCTTCCAACCTTTACGAGGTTTTAATCTACCCATCATGGTGTTTGTATTCCATAACCAACCCATGTTACCTGGTACTCTAGGTCGTGGATCGATACAATTCTTGTGACCGTAATTGATTCCAGGATAAGTGGCTGCAACCGCATAAACAAATTTCATGATTCTTCGACCGACCTTCATATGAGATTTGCCAGTAGCATTGCGATCGCCACCGGGTCCTGGATATCTTGTTTTATTTTTGTGTTGTTTAGTGTTCACCTTCCCGATTAATTTTGCGGTTCCGGCACCGGCAGATTGTGCCGTCTGCGAGGTGGTTTTTTTTACGATTGTCGTTGTTGCTTCTAACATTGACGAATCAAGAGTTCTCGTTCGCTTTCTCGACCTGCACCTTGGTTCCCCGCAAGGTCCTAACTCGGTTTCCGGAGGTGGAAAGATCGTCTCAAGCTCTTTCTGCTTATCCAGCTTCTCATCCTTCCTTTTCTGCTTGGTAAACACAATGGAGCCCGCTTCCGGTATAACTGGGATTGCCTCACGCACGACTCCGGAACGCCCTGGTACCGCAATCGTGAAAGGAGTTGCCGATGGAAAGGATGCCATGACACTGTTCACACCCACGATCCCTTGTCTGGTGTTGAGTGTGTTGCAAGGACCAGAGTACTGCATTTGCTGTGGAGGAAGGAGTCCTTTCTTCGATGCACTCATATCCATAGTTTGATTCTGTTCTTTGTCCCTACCGAAGTAAGGACTCTCTGATGGAGACATTAAGCCTAGTCCTGCCAAACCTGGCACCGTGCCCAAGGAATCGACAAAGTCTTGAGCATTTTTGAATGCTCGAATCAGACAGTCTACTCCTATACATGGCTTCTTTATGGTTGCCGAAACACCCCTGCGTCTTAATGAAGCGTCCAAAGCTTCTTTAGCTGGACAGCCACATCCAGACTTCGGGTTGGACGTTGATTGAGGTTTATAGGCGTCAAATGTAACTTCATTAGATGACGCTAAGTGATCGTCAATATGACGTACTGGAGTAGATTCGAATCCTGTTTGAGTTACTGATCTGTGATTATTGAATTCCTCGAAATCATTCGTTACAGGATATTCAGTACTGTGGAGCTCTCTTCTAGGTTGAAATTGACTATAATTTGTTGTAGTCTCGATTCTCTGATTGGTCACAGGTTGTGGATATTGTTCGTTATGGCAAATGGATTCTTGCCGAAATCCAGTAATTTCGGGATTTCCTAGTCCACATCCGCCGCCCCTCATTCTCGAAGTACAGCTAGTACCAGAGTCGTAAATAATGCTAGTTTGTGGATTTCTGACACAATAGCTGGGAATAAAGCACGGCACCTTGTCATTGTTAGCATTGTCTCGTTGCAACGCTAGACTGGGTTGCCTCATACTTGAACAACAACGACCGAGACAACCAGAAGGGCACGCGGAAGACGTGCTCGAAAAGATCGGATGGTTATCGACCGGAGTACAAGCGCAGGTCGGTTCGTTTGGGTAAGCTCGATAAACATGGCCACGATATTGTCTGTCGTTCAATTTCTCAGCGTTAGTTAGTTTCTCGAAGCCTGGCTCACCCATGGATATCTTAGGCGGTGAGGTTGGTACACATAGTGAAGCTCCTACGTTGCCAGCAGTTTCATCCCCTCTACGTGCTTCCCGAGGTAGACGAGACGATTCAGTCGTTTCACCTGATTCCTGGACAGACTGTAAATTCCCCATTTTTATTTCAGATGCATCCCTGTTTTCATTATCTTTTACCGGCTGTAACGCATCGTTCATCTGCGAACTTCTAGGGGCTGAGAATTTTTCCTGAAACGCAAAATGCGTCACGATGGATTTGCCAAAACAGGATAGCCTCAAAGACAGGGCGATGCTTCCTGAGATTTTATTCTGGTCATCGATCAAGTCATAAACATTAGTCAGAGTGTACGCTTTAGGTGGATGACTCCTCTCGTTGCTAGTCGTAGATACTTGGTCACAGAGACATCCGGATAACGGTACGCGCGCCTCGCAGATGGGAAACGGTTCGCCTACAACCCCGCAGACGGCTCGTGCAGCGATTTTGTAAACTCCGACCTTTAGAGGTCGCGAGTGCATAGCTCGCACGAGCTCACACGGCGGTTTTGCGAAGAGGCACGATTTCCCGGCGTTCAGCTTCACGGATCTGTCCCCGACCTTAGACTCCACTTCTAGAACCTCTTCTGGTATCCTCTCGCATGTCTTTCTCACCATGGTCAATTCCTCAGGGCCGATTTCGAAAGTCGGTATGTCGATGAACTTTATGCGAACGCATAGCGTGTTGGTATTCGGATCCTCGATCTTGTCAGGACACAAGCTGAGACCTTTAACTAGGATCTCCAGCATGTACAGCTGTTCCTCCTCAGATCTTACACATTCTTCTATATTCATGATGATTTATTTCGCTGATGACTCTCACAAAAAAGCAACGAATCACCTGCTTACCGCTGACTCGAGAATTTGGCAATGAATTTTGAAGGGATCATAAATTATTAGGATTACTTTGACCACGCCATTAATTTAGCTCATCTCACCACGCTAAGTCCCGAAATTTTATTCCTGCGCTCGTATTTTTGACAGCTTGGTCGATGCCTGACTGATTGATTAACCAATGATTGACAGCTGGTTACCATGGTAATAAACAGACGATCTATTATCACAATAATCACCTTTTGATTGATACTAATTCTATGAATACTTGTCATTTACGATAGGAGTATGAACTTCAGGAGATGATGATCATTCTGTTCTAGGTATTTCCGTAGTTCTCACTTGGTCGAACTTTCAATTTTTTCCTACTTAACGTAACCTGCCCTTATTTAGAAGTCCGCTGTGGTCGTTTCTCTTCGTCAAAGGATTCTGGAAGAATGCTATCGGGACACTTCATCTCTTCCAATTCCACCACGTCGCCAGGAACTCCTGTCGTTATCACAGGTTTCACGCAGAACTCACTCTCGTCTTTATCGTTTTTGAATAGAAAAGACGTGCTGTCAAGTTGATACTGTGTACTGATAGACTTCCCCAGGCAGACTAACCGTATATCCAGATCAATAGTACCCGACGGATTCTCTCCAGGATCCACCAGGTGAAAACCACCCTTAAGTGAATAAGGCTTAGGTGCATGATCTGGATCATTCTGAGCCATGGCCACTTGATCACAAAGACAGCCAGAAAATGGTATTTTACATTCTGCAATAGGATAGGTGTCACCCTCGCAAAAGACACCAAGGTTTAACGCTACCTTCTTTAATTCTTCCACAAGGACTTTAGGTTTTCGAACAAAGAGGCAGGACTCGCCTGAGGAAAGGTTAATGACGCCATTCTCATCCGGCATCGATGATATCATAGTACCAGTAAAATCATTAGTCGATATTGCAAATATAGGGAAATCCAAAAACCTGATCTTAACCACAAGCTTCGACTTGCCGACATCTTTTATCTTGTCTAGCGTGAGTTTGAGTTTGTCAACCATTAGCTCTATGAGGTAGAGCTGCTCGTCGTGCCCTCCGAAGCAAGACATGCCCCGATCACTTTCTCATTCCAATGTCCAGGCTTTTCATGTCAAATATACACGAGGAATTTGAGGAACGTATACGTCTCAATAGTACCACAGACTGTTCGAAAATGACAATCGAATTTTACGATCATCGCGCCTCGAGTATCTGGGTCATTTCTGTGAACGTACCTATAGTATATACATATAGTATATACTGTTGTATACATACGTATAGGTATGATCCTCACTCGTGAGACAAAAAATTAATTCGAATGCACTCGGTCAAACGAGTAGAAACCAAACGTGGACCCATGAGTATCGTCGTAAGCGTTCGATCACCCACCGGGATTAACGATATATTTTTTTTCTTTTCATTTTTATCCGGTGCGTAGATCGGATCTCCAGGATCTCCCGTAGAAAAAATCACCGCAGCCGTGTAGATCCTATCGGTCATAAGCGACTGCTGTCTCTTTCATTGACGTTTATAACTGCTTCGACCAACGTAGACCCCCCATCAGGGTTAGGGAGGACCAGTTACCGATAGAAGCTGATGTTTTCACCAAGACTTTTCGTGCATCGGAAACATCTCGGTCCAGTATTTGGGTATGCTAAATTGGTAACCTTGAAAAATACAACGATCCCTCGAGGTGCGGTTTTAGTGGATACAACCGAAGATCGAAGACACGGTGGTTCCTTCAAGGTTCCAACACCGACCTGAAGTATGCACTAATTGGTGCGGGCACACGCATACAAGGAGACCCGAAGCATGGACACCATAGAGTGGCAGGGAAGCTGGTCAGCCGAAGTAAAATTCCGAGCCAGGCGACACGGCGGCTCGTTAAAATGCTTCTGGGGGTTTCGGGCACGGGACGCTCGGTTAATTGGTGATTAGCGATTAAAACGAACCGATCCTTCGTCCCCCGGTCATCCGGTCTCTTCTTTACCAAAAGGGACACAAAGCTACAATGCTTATAATATTATCGTCAGACATAGAATAGCAGCTGGAGGTGATCCGTGCCGAAAGGAAGTATTATATACTCCACTCTGTCTTCGGAGAATCTATAAGAATGTGTATCTGTATATGCTTTTATGTATCTACATGCACATAAGTAAAGAACATAGACTGCCGAAGAGGATCGGTACGGCACGCATACGGCACGCGTAGCCTTTTTGATCCTGACCCAAATATTCTCAAGACGTCAGGTCCATTTTCTCCCGTCTTTCCATCAATGCAGCGCGCGTGCACTATGGACTATGGAGAAACCTTGATCGTGCGCAAACCGATCCCACGACATTATTTCCTACACGAGTTATTCAACGCTCTGCTTCTATAAGTTCCTACCTGCCCGCATTCAAGAGGAACTCTCGCCAGGGGTCTTCCTCGATTTGAATAATCCTAAGGCCCCGGCTATACCCCATACCTCGAATTCGCCATATATGCCTTTAACCCATCTCGACATTGCTATCTCGTGGAAGATTCCGGTATTTCCGATGTGTCCAGAAGAACGGAGGTCTGGCAGGCATCGAGTCTCAGCTTTGAAATTCCACGTGTGCCTCTCCGGATTGCTCACCCGGCGTCGGGAGTCCTCGGTTATTTTCGATGATCTAGATCTGGGTAGCACCAGGAAGCCGTGGCCGAACGCAAAATTACCGGTACCAGTGGAAGAGGCCTCGTTCGCTCGCTCCAAGAGGTCAGAGGGCGATAGCGGTACCTCTTCTGCCGAGGAAGGCCTCATCCTCCATCCTACCGTGTTGCACTAGTGTAGAGTGCACACCGTATACAAACGTAAGGAGTCTCACACTCTCGTGATCCCTGTAAGCTTGTGTTGAGACGTTCGAGCGTTCGTGCAACGAATACCTAAGGATGGCCGGCGGCAGCGTCGGCGTCGGCGGCGACTACGAGGCATCCCGAGCGGTCTCTCCGACAGAAGAGAAACGAAGAATGAGAGAACGGCAGAGAGAGAATTAGAAGAGGACCGGCACCCTCCCGCAGCGCTAGACCAAATTTGTTAAACAACCGGCGCATCCCAATTTGTTCCCGTGTGGCTTTGTGACGTATATCATGACGGGCTCCGTGTGTACGCGCGCCTGCATTATGAAAGGCAAGTGTATATGCGTCTGCGCGAGGGATGAGGCGGCACGCTGAGTTTACGCGAGTTCGAATTTACCGTTGCATCTGAAAAATGAAATTATCGTCACGCCGCGTCATTTAGAAAGGAAACAAGCTCCTATACGACGCGTACGAATAATATCAACGAGTTTCTTCACTAACGAAGTAACAGCCTGTAGCGGCGCTGTTTATCGTGTCCACCATTCCGATTGCCTTACTGGAATGTCAGCGTCGATGAGTATTCACCTTCGTTATAAAAATTCCTTCGATCGAAACTTCTATCCAGAATACTACAGGAATATGATGAGAAACGAGGAAGAAAGCTGCGCATAATAGAATATCACAAGTACGAGTGAATGCTACCCGTTTACCTGGTCTCGCTCTATACGGTAGAAGGTGCTGCTGCACTTCCCCGTGTCTGACGCCACTACCAGACCGTTTACGTGTTCCCGTCAGAGATAATCCGTTAGCTAGGAGTCGCTTGCGACGTTTTCCGCGTAGGTCGAGTCACGCGTGACTTTCCCTGCAGATCTCGTGATCAGGCACACGAGGATGTGCACGGATATACTTAGGTATACTAACAATAAGTATCGTATACGAATAGAGTGGGTAGTATAGCTACGTAAGCGTAGCATCAAGCCGTTCCGATCGGAAAAGGTCGTCGTCGTCGTCGTCGTTGTAGACATTGTCGGTGGTAAGCATGAGCTGCGATATCGCGTCACGAGACGATGAGACGAGCCTGTAAGAACCGGGTTATAGGCTGCTGTAAGTGTAACGAGGATCTAGCTGTGGTAGGGATAAGGACGAGGTAGGCAGAGTAAGGAGATCGGAGGGATGGGAAGTGAGGGAAGGTTGGGTTAGGTAAAATGGAGGTAGAAAAAATAAAAAGCAAGAGGGAGTGGACCGCGGTGAGGTCGCGACCCGCAGCCCGCAGGCCCCAGTGAAAGGCCCAACGGCGATCCGCATCCGCGGGGCCCATGGAGCCCCGAGCGGGGCCCACTGTGAGTCCCGAGAGCTGTTTCTTAAGATCGCGTTCTTCTTGGCGGCCTCACTACCATTATGCTGCACTTAAAGTGGCAATCGTGTGGAAGGCAGCGCAATAGCCGCGTTGCGCAACCTTTGTGACCCCACCCTAGAACCCAGGCGCAATGGCAAACGGCTAAACTGCGGCAGCAAATAGCTCGTTCGAGCTACCCCTTGGATTCATGGCGCACGGGCACCGCCGTCAAGGGATACGGCTCTGATCGAACGATAATTGGATAGATTACGCGGAACCTCCTCCAACCCTGATACCATCGCGTTTATGTCCATTTTATGTGTTATACCGAGCCCCCCGTATACCGTGCATACAGCCATCAGGTTGTATGCCAGGTCCACTTTACGAGCGTGCAAGTGTTTGCATAGCGTGGGGAGTTCGCAAAACGCTCTTAAAGTTCTTTTACACGCGTTGTCCAGGTGTCGATCACCTGAGCTGCATCATCAGCCACTAAAGAAATCCCAGCGTGAGACAATCCTGCAAAATTCCTGTGAAACTTCGAAAAGCAGAATGACGTTACAAAGTGGTAATGGGGTTCGAGACAGTTTCAGAGCAATTCAAGTCAATAGCACCGGCGAGGCAACCAACACTGTGGGAAAACGGGGAATTGTAACAAAAGAGGCTAGCCTTTTAAATAAAAAGCGTAAAACTGCTGATTAGACGCGGGGTCGCGCATGCTCTTGCTGGTGTCTGTCTACCCGCCTGACAGCCTCTTGTCTTTACCGATTCTCTCACAGCATTTTCAAGAAGCGACGCCTTCTTTTGCTCCTGGGTTTCGGGATACTTGTTCAATGGTCCATTTCGTGAGATGACGACGGTTCGCAATAGAAGATTCTACTAAATGCCCACGAGTGATGCCGTTTCCGGTCGAGTCGACGTGGGGCCGAACCGCTGCGAATTCAGCTGCGATCGAATGGACAATTCACCGCGACCGCACGAGACGCTGAGAAACACGTGGAATGAAAAACTGACGAGAAGAAAGGATTAAAAGAGGGATTCAAAGCAACGGCTCGCGTCTAGCCGCAAAATCAATTATTTCCAGTTCGTCAAGATCGGCGGCATGGCGGGATGCACCGTCGCGTCGCCAGTGTCGCAAGATGAGGGCAACCGCTCTACAGGGCACTTCATCCACGACAAGCAATTAAATCAGCCTGTTCGAAAACAATGCTCGTCCAGCGACACGGCCCGCCGGGATCCTCGAGGGTTTCTCTGGTAGAATTTATTACGGGGTAAGACTATAGAGCCGCACTCTCGGGTCCCTCGTGAAGCTAAACCTCCAAGCACACGCTCACCGAACGCGTGACAAATTCATCGAGTCACGCCGCCTCACGTGCTTTGAAGAGTGAGGACCACCCCATAACGATATAACACGGACGCAATCATCATGGTACTGCCAACAGAGACGGGGCGATAAATTAAAACTAGGAGAAACAGGGCTATTAGCGTGCCATTAGCGAGACTGACCATGCGTGACTCGGGTGGTTCGTGTTTCAAATCGCACGAGACGCACTACAGGACTATGCCAATTTTATACACAGGAAACCATCTATGCCGGTTTGGTTGTCTACCTAAATACTTTGACAACCCAATTGGATAGTTGGCAAAGCTCCGTAACCGCGAAGGATCAGAATTTCGAGAATTCTATCAAGGAGCACCAGAGAAAGAAGCATTGATATCTTTAGCGTAAAATGGCAAGTGGAATCGCAAGAACCGATCGCACGGTCAAAGGATATAGCTGTACCTATAGGCAAGGTATGTACTATGGATGGAATCGGAGCTCTGCGATCAGCCTGGTTTCCGGCCGAGCGAGAAAAAACCTTTGGGAACCGTGATTGTAGCGCAGTGGCTTTCGTAACACGCCTCCGGTGTTAGGATTGGTGTGCACCGACAACCGTAGGAATTAAGTGAGCAGTTAGGTGGTAGTAGTAGTATACTTCGAGCAAGGGGGTAAGCACTAAGCAGGC